AGGCAGGCCCTGGCGGGGCGCTGGGACTGGGCCCAGTAAGGCCCGAGTAGGGTCAGGTTGCTAGTTCCAGTAGTGCCCTGGTAAGGGGCAGGTACCGGTCCCAGTAAGGCCCTAACAGGATTTAGATCCTGGTCCCAGTAAGGCCCTGATGGAAGGCAGGTACTAGACCTAGTAAGGCCCCAATGAGCATCAGGTACTAGTCCCAGTAAGTATCATGCACTGGTCAGGTACTGGTCCCAACTGGTCAGGTGCTGGTCCCAGTAAGGTCCTGGTGGGGATCAGGTACTGGTTGCAGTAAGGCCCCAGTGGGTGGCAGGTTCTGTCCCCAATAAGGGTCACACATTGGTCAGGTACTGGTCCTAGTAAGGCCCCAGTAGAGGGTCAGATTACTGGTTCCAGTAAGGCCCCAGTGTGAGGTAGGTACTGGTCTCAGTAAGACCCCAGTAGGGGGTCAGGTTACTGGTCCCAGTAAGGGTCACACACTGATCAGGTACTGGTCTCAGTAAGGCACCAGTGGGGGTCAGTTTCTGTTCCTAGTAAGGGTCTCACACAGGTCCCAGTAGGGATCACATACTGGTCCTAGTAAAGGTCAAGTACTGGTCCCAGAAAGGCATGAGTGGGGGGCTGGTACTGGTCCCAGTAAGGCCCTGGTGCGGGGCAGGTACTGGTTCCAGTAGGGGTCACATACTGGTCCCTGTAAGGGTTAGGTACTGGTGGGGGTCAGGTACCGGACCCAGTAAGGCCCCAGTGGGGGTCAAGTACTGGTCCCAGTAAGGCCCCAGTGGGAAGTAGGTTACTAGTTCCAGTCGAGGTCAGGTACTGGTTCCAGTGAGGGCCCCATACTGGTCCTAGTGGAGAACAGATACTGGTCCCAGTAAGGGTCACGTACTGGTGATAGTAAGGCCCTGGTGGGAGGCAGGTACTGGTCCCAGTATGGGGCACACATTGATCCTAGTAAGAGTCAGGGTCTGGTCTCAGTAGGGGTCGCATATCAGTTTTAGTAAGGCACCAGTACAGGCCAGGGACTGGTCCTAGTAAGGTTCTGATACTGGTCCTTGGTGGCACCCCACTGATACTTAGTGGAGATCAGGTACTGGACCCAGTAAGGCAGCAGTGGGGGTTAGGTACTGGTTCCAGTGCAGGAGGGAACTCGTCCCAGTAAGGGTCAGGCATTGGTCCCAGTAGGGATCAGGAACTGGTCCTAGTCAGGAGGAACAGCTCCCAGTAAGGCCAGACTGGGACTGAGTTGGGCCACACAGGGGTGGGGCTTGTGGAGTGGTGTCACCTGTGTGTCACCTATGACCTGTGTGCCACCTGTCACCTCTGTGTCACCTGTGTCCCTGTGTGTCCCCATGTCCCCACAGACATCAACGAGCTGAACCTGCCCAAGACGTGTGAGATTGACTTCTCTGACCAGGACGACCTCCTGCACTTCCGACTGCTCATCTGCCCTGACGAGGTCAGTGTCACCTCCCTGTCACCTTCCTGTCACCTCTCTGTCACCTCTCTGTCACCTGTCGCCCCTCCTGCTCTTCCAACTGCCCATCTGCCCTGACGAGGTCGGTGTCACCTCCCTGTGTCACCTCCCTGTCACCTGTCGCCCCTCCTGCACATCCAACTGCTCATCTACCCTGAGGAGGTTAGTGTCACTTCCCTGTGTCACCAACCTATGTCACCTCCGTGTGTTACCTCCATCCCCTGTCACCCCCTGTGTCTCTTCCTGTCCCCTCCTGCACATCCAACTGCTCATCTACCCTGAGGAGGTTAGTGTCACTTCCCTGTGTCACCAACCTATGTCACCTCCGTGTGTTACCTCCATCCCCTGTCACCCCCTGTGTCTCTTCCTGTCCCCTCCTGCACATCCAACTGCTCATCTACCCTGAGGAGGTTAGTGTCACTTCCCTGTGTCACCAACCTATGTCACCTCCGTGTGTTACCTCCATCCCCTGTCACCCCCTGTGTCTCTTCCTGTCCCCTCGAGGTTCGTGTCACTTCCCCGTGTCACCCCCCTGTCACACCCCCCCGCTCCCCCATCCCCCCTTGTCTCTCCCTGGGGTGTCCCAGCTTGGAATTCCATGTCCACCCCTGTCCCCTCATGTCACCTTGGAGTCCCTACTGTCCTCATGTCCCCACTGGGACCTGTCTCTTCCCTGTCACCCCCTGTTCCCCTCTGGGGTGTCCCCTCCTGTCCCCTTGGGATCCCCACTGTACCTATGTCCCCCCTGGGACCTGTCCCCTCTCTGTCCCCCCTGGGATGTCCCCTCCTGTCCCTTTGGAGTCCCCACTGTCCTCATGCCCACACTGGGACCTGTCCCTTCAGGGTCCTCATGTCACCCCTGTCCCCTCCCTGTTTCATCTGTCCCCTCCTGTCCCCTTGGGATCCCCCGTGTCCCCCTGGGACCTGTCCCTTCCCTGTCCCCCTTGGTCCTCTCCCAGCCCCTGAGTCCCTCCTCTGTGTCCCTCTGTCCCCTGCTGTCCCTGGGGGTCCCCGAGGTGTCTCCACCCCCGTGATATGTCTCTGTCCCACAGGGCTTCTACAAGGGAGGCAAATTCGTCTTCAGTTTTAAGGTCAGTCCTGGGGCCACCAAGTCCCCTCCTGTGGCTAACAAGTACCCTCCCATGGCCGCCGAGACCAGTGGCCACCCAA